TTCCAATAGAAACCTGAGAACAAGGGTACATTCCATTGAAAAGAATGGCCCCTAAATCCATGTTCATCCCTGAGAACACAGTTCAATCCTGTATTTCCACTAATGGCAAAATGACATCTCCAGCCAGAGTCCAAAACCACTCTTCCTAATCCTTGTGCGCTTTGAGATTCATTCCCAGAACTGCAGACCTATACTCCCATCCCTACAGTGGAAAGCCACACTGTACGGAGGACCTAGTCCTCAGGCAGCTTCACCAGTCTCCTCAAGAACATTAGTTGATAACATAGAACAAGGATTGGTCTGACCCTCCACCTGTTTCTGTAAATAAACTTGCACTGAGGAACAGCCATGCCCATTTTGTACATGTATGGTTTGTGGCTGCTTTTGTATTAACAGCAAGTTTAAACAGCCTATGGAGTCTGAAATAGGTATTGTAACCCTACACCAGAAGTTTGTTGACCCATACCACAGAAGAAGAAAAGCACTTTTGTTGTTACTGTTGTCACCAATGCTCTAAATCAGCTACAAGAAAATGAAAGTCAATATTTTACTCATATCTCACAGAACAAGTTGAAAAGAAGGCTAGCACAAAGAAGGCAAAAATATATTCAAGAGGTCTTCTTGAAAAGATTTAGCTCAACTCCAAAAACTTAATTGAGCTTCTTGCAATTGCAAGAAGGACCTGGAGTGTTAGGAAAATCAAAAGGGAAGTATTCAGGCACCCACAACGTGATGCGATGATTCTGGGAAAGAAATTTGTGGGGTGGAGTCAGAGGAAAGAGCCAAGATAGAATCAGCAGTAACCACTGCTGTCCACCTCTCAACAGGAGGTACAGGTGCTTTTAAAGCAACTCTTGTCAGACCTTTTTTGCCATCTTATTCATACCAGCTAATGCCTTAGCGATCCCTTCTTTAAAAAGAAGAGGAATGTATTATTATAAATTATGACCCTGTTTTGTATGTGCAAATATTTCTACAGTGATGGTGGTTTTGTGTGTCTGTGTTTATTGTTGCTGTTGCTGCTGGTGCTTCAGTGTTTGCTGTTGTTGTTGTTGTTTTTTGTCAACTAAGTACAGATGTCTTGAAAATTGATGAGCTCAATCTGGACTGTATAATAAAACTTCAGTATTCACTCAGCCAGATCTATCTCAACTGGCCACAGTATTTTATCAAAATTATTCTGTGGATACATCATTAATCAGACTCTGAAGTCTAATTTTTACTCTCCGAAGTTCATTTGATAGCAGGGGGGCCTCTGTCTCCAGCCTTTACACTTGCCCAGAAGCAATAATAGATGTTTTGTAGGTGATTGAATGCTTTTGGCACATAAAAAAACTGTCTCTGATTGACTCTGACTGAACCTAAGTAACAGATAAATGGGAGGGGTGTCACTTTATTACTCTATGTTTGTGCATGTTTGAAAATGTTCATAATAAACGTTTTTAAAGGAACTTGATTGTTGGGCATGGGTGGTTCTTTACTCATAAGCAATCTCCCTCCATCCCATCGGTTTCACAAAACTGGAGCATGTCCTTTTATTACTAGAGTGGCAACAATGCATTAAAAAATGAAGAGAGCCAAGTGTCGGTGGCTCATGCCTGTAATCCTAGCTACTCAGGAGGCAGAGATCAGGAGGATCACAGTTCGAAACCAGCCTAGGCAAATAGTTCCATGAGACCCTGTCTTGAGAAACCTTTCACAAAAATAGGGCTAGTGGAATAGCCAAAGTGAAGGCCCTGAGTTCAAGCACTAGTACCAAAACAAACAAAAAAAAATGAAGAGAAAATTACTTCCAAGTGGAGCACACCTTTCGGAGGCAGGACCCAACATCAGATGAAAATGAGAAAACACAGGGCAGAATTTATAAACTGGTTATACTTCATAGCTGACCCTGTGTGGGTTCTATATTTGTGGATTTAACCAACAGCAGATCAAAAATATTTGAAAAAAATTACATTTGTACCAACTTTTTGTTCCTTCTCAGTATTCCCTAAACAATACAATATAACAACTATTCTCAAAGCATTACACTGTATTAAGCAATACTCTGGAGTTGATTTAAAGACTATGAGATTTTATTTGTAGGTTATATGCAAATAAAGGGCTTGAACATCTATAGACTTTGTCATCCACAAGCGTTCCTAGAACTAATCTGTAAATACCAATGGATGACTGTTTATCTCTGCAAAAGAAGTCTGCTTGTAAAATAAGCTCTTATCAGTAGCTGCCCTACATTAATCCATTTATTAAGCTCCTGGGTATGCAAAGCCCAGTTCTAAATGAGGACACACAAATGTAACATTTGTCTTTGGAAAACTGGACAAAGAATAAAACAGGCAATGCCTAATCCCTAAAGTTTAACACTAACCAAGCTTGAGCCCATACTTCAATAACTAGAAATAAGTGTAGCACAACTCCATTAATCGAGGGCCTATTCTATGTAAGGTTCTAAACTAGACATCCAAAATATGAAACAAAAATTAAGGTACAATCTCCATTCTTGGTCCTGTAGAGGACAAAATCAATTACTTAATAGTATTATGGGATCACAAAAGATTCAGGGGAGGCTTTGCAAATTAGAGTTAAACCATCATGAAGGATAGATAAGACTAGCAAGTGAGAAAAGATGGAAAGAAGCAAAGAGTTAAAAAATAGCATGGGTATGTGGAAAGAATTGTTTGCAAAATGATAGAGCAATAGCAGAAAATTTTCACTAGCATATGAGTCCCTGAGGGGATTTTGTCTGTTCTGTTCACAGAAAGTCTGGCTCATAGTAGGCACTAGTTAAATATAGGCTTCTAAAAAAGAAATACAGGTTGAGTATCCCTAACACAAAAAATCCGAAATTCAAGATGCTCCAAAGTCTGAAATTTTATTAAGTACCAACCTAATGCCATAAGTCTGATAGTTAAATACACACAAACTTTGTTTCATGTACAAAATTATTTTTTTAATTGTATAAAGTTACCATCAAGCTATGTATATAAGGTGTATATATATATGAAGCAAATGAATTTTTGTTTAAACTTGGGTCCCATTCCCCAAGATATCTTACTGTGTTTTGGCAAATATTCTGAAACATGAAACCTGAAACACGTCCTGTATGTTGCATTTCAGATAATGGGTTGTCAATCTGTGTTTGTTAAACTAAAAAATGAATCCATCTCTAAAGTAGTACTAGTATTCAAAGTTTCTGGTAAGGAGTCACAGTGAGGTAGATGGGACAAAACCAAGGAAAGCTTGCAAGAAGCTTGGATTTCATGGTGATGGATAAACACTGAAGAAGTTTACAAAGAAGGATGGCTTGAGTGTATTTATGGTTTTGAGTTTCAGGGAGGAGAGGGAACCTAAGGGACCCAGAGGGAGTTGTTACTAAAGACTAGATGAACACTGACCAAGGTAAAAACCATGGAATCAGGTAGCAAATGTCACCTAAAGCCACCAGTTTGGCTGACACAAAAAAGGCTGGTGATAACAAGTGTTGTCAAGGATGTGAGACAACCAGAACACTCTTTCCCTGCTAGTAGAGTATAATGTGAAAGTATATGGAGTAAAATCTGAAAAAACTATTGAGGAACTTCTACTAAAGTAGAACTCTAGAGTCTCACTTCTAGAGATACAGTAGAATTCATATGTGGTCCCAAAGATTTCCATCCCCACAAAGATATGGGCAAGAATGGCCCCAGCAGCATCATTTGTCATAGCCAAAATGCTTAAATTGGGTTATATATGCATACAATGGAATACTGAAAAATGCATGTACTGTCTTACACTCGTAATTCTTCTGAGCATCATACTGAGTAAAAGAAGCTGGCAGAAATGGATACACATGGGAGAATTTCATTTTTAAAGCTCACAAATAGGCAAAAGAAATTCATTGTGAAGAATTCAAAACAGAAGTTCTTTGGGCATAGGGCAATGATGAGGAAGGAGGCACCTGGGTATGTCTTCATATGGGTATGGTTACACAGTGTGCTTTCTTTGTAATAATTCTCCAAGCTGTATACTCAGAATTTAGCAGTTCTCTGAATGTATCTGAAAATTTTTTAAATGTGTCTTTGGATTCCTGGTTCGAATGGCAGGGTGGGTGATAGTGCCTGAACTAGATTCCGTGTACCTAGAAGGAAGAGTCAGGCTCTACAGTAGCCATGGCTTTTATTGTACTTTGTGGCTACTACTGATGGTGCTTGGTGGCTGTCCAGGTGGCATAGAACAGACACATTATAATCCTATAGTCATGGAAGTCCTCCCTCCCTATATCCCCTCAGGGCTGTGCCCTCCTACCTTTTGCACTCCTAGAACTTGTGCCATTCTGCCATGAGAAGCAATTTCTTCCAAGAAAAGAGAATCCTATCTTTTGGGACCCCCCACACTCTAACTTCATACTGTACTTGCAGTAGGAGATAAGCTAAGACAAATAATAAGACCCAGTAAGGTTATCATCATAAGAGATAGCAAAAAATATTTTGCTGCAGAGCACTTGGAGTCCAGAAAACTGTCTAGAACATGATGATGCTTGTGGGTAACAGACACACCTTAGGAAATTCTCATCCTGTCCTTGCTAATGCCCCTCTTCTGTTCTGATGGTCTTACTTATACCTTCATTTGCATCAAGCTACCCTGTAGAGGAAAAATATAGGATAAAAACTTGGGCAGATCCTTGGACAGAAGGCACAAGGGGACAAGTGAAAGCCACTGCTCCCATATAGTGGTACCATCCTACTGAGGTAGAACCAAAAATCTCACACGCCCTTCATTCCACTCCAGCTCTGGTTAGTGACAAGGGACCAAGTTCCTTTAAGACTAGATTATGAAGCTCCTTTCATGCCCCACAGCAATCACCCAGCTGCCATCAGACTGTTAAGGAGAATCTGTTGCAGATTCTTTCTGACACTTCTTCTCCTGACCAAAGTCAAGAGAATTATTTATAGGGGGCAACAAACCCCTATAAATACAAACCGGACAACTCATAAATCATGAAATTTTGCACCCACACATAGGTAACTCTATTCTCAAGACTCAAAAGAACAATATGCTGTTATAGAAGTGGATTCGTTGTCAAGGAGGTAAGTGAAATGAGATCCAGATGGAGTTCATACCTGGGGTTCACTTTCAAATAATAAATAAAATGACAACACTTAGACAGAGTGCTGCTGCCTGGAGAAGAATCATTAAATGTGGGATAGTTACTTCTCTGTGGCATGGTGAGCACTCTAATTTGTTCTAGAATTTTCCAGCCCCTGCTCCAAAGTCCTAACATCATTTCTGGGAGGGGCTGAAATCCCCATTACTAAAAACTCAAGTCTTCACTCAATCCCAGCCTCAGTTTACTTATTCTTCCTTCTCTCTAATTACCTAATACACTTAATACTAAAGTAATAATGAGTAGCCAGGGTCCCTGACTTCCATATTTTATCAAAAGTGAGATGCTTATTAAAAGACATACTACCAATACTTCAGGTACTACTAAAAAGAGTATATATGTATATAACATACTATCCATTGTAAAAGCATCCTGATTCAGAGATGGAAAAAAATTTTTAAATGTGCTTTTTAGAATCAATTATACAACTATTACCTGGGAAGAAGTCAGGAAATAGGAAGTCACAAGCCATTTGATTTCAGAAGATTGTATACATGAATTAACAAACCCTTGACACCAATGTAGAAAAGCTCTAAGTTTCCAGGATTGAGTTTTATCATTTTCAATGCATTTATAGGTTTTAGATCTTATACTAAAGAAATATTGCAGAGAACTATACAGACCTGGCAAAATATCAAAAGCAATTTTGAAAGGGTGATAAATATTAAAACATCATGAATTTGATATTTAAAGTATATTTAAATATATTTGTATTTAAAGTACCTTAAAGATTATGGAAATGAAGAGAAGTAATTTTGCAGTTGAGATCAAAACTCCTCAAAGCTTCAATGTCTTTGTAATACTTGAACCAGTAAGTGTTTTACCTTTATATATTTGAAACAGGTATTTGAATTTTGTGGAACTGATGCTAAAAAATTGGAAGCGAAGATCCAAGAACTAATGTAAGCTACTATCCAAAACAAAATATACTTGTGACATTTTCAAAGGCAACAGTAAATGTGCTTGTGGTTTTATTTTCAGCAAATATTGTAGTGTTCTACCAGTCTCTCTCATAGTGTTTTGCTGGAGGAACAACCATACTGCAATCTCACTGCAACATTGCTTAAAACTGTTGCGATATCAGAGTTTTGTCATTTCTCTAAGTTGGCCTTTGGGTGTGCTCTGAGCATATTCCTTGGGCAATGTTTTTGTGACCTTCACAGCAGAGGCCCTGCTCAGCTAAGCAATGGCAGGTCATTGAGGTTGTTCAGAGATTGCCAGTGCCCTCCAAATATATGGAAGCTTCTCTCCAAGTGAACCCTTGTTTGCAGTATGAAATCATTCTCCAACACATCACCTTATATTAATTCTCGTATAAATAATTTTTTACAAAGCATAGGAGCCCTGCGCTTTGTCAGAATCCTTTAGGCGATGAAGCAAGGGGAAAAGCAAATGCCAGCTTAAGCAAAAAGGCACATCTGCTACTCATCCAACACTTACTTACAAGCACTTTCTCCATGCCAGCCACTGTTACAGTCACTGAAAATGAGAGTTGATTCATTGGATCCATCTTGGAGACAGAGTCAGCTTTCTCATGCAATGAGAAACAGAAGGATTACGGGTAATCCAAGAATTTCCAGGTATTTCTGTCCTCATCACCCTTTCTGTGGCTAGGAAAGGTGTTCTTTAGTTTTAAATCTGTGAGCTAGAAATTGTCCCTGTCAGTAACTCCCAAGAGCCCATTGTCGTCTTCATTGAAGAAACCAGGCAGACATTGCCTTATGAAAGCATAGGCAAGGGGCAGGAAGACACATCAAAAACAATTTCACCACTGGGCATGGTGGCTCATGCCTGGAATCCCAGCTACTCAGAAGGTGGAGGTGGAAAAATCATGGACGCAGGCCAGCTCAGGTCCTCAGAGTTAGTAGGACCCTGTCTCAAAAATAAACTAATAACAAAAGGACTTAAGTGGCAGAGCGCCTGCCAGCAAAGGTGAGGCAGTGCGTTCAATCCTCAGTACTTTGAAAAAAAGCAATTGTGCTCCTGTTGTGAGAGTGGAAGTGGGAATGACAAGAATCCCAGAAAAACAAGGGGCTAGAAGGACTGAAACTATTGTCTCCCTGCAAAATAAACACTTTAAAGTGTCAATCAAAACAAAATCATTCTCCCCAAAAAATGAAGACGAAATTGTCAATATAGAAATCTGTGCTGGACAAGTGTGATGGTACATGTTTGTAGCCCTAGCACTTGGGAGGCTGAAACAGGAAGATGGTGAGTTTGAGGCCAGCCTGCGTCTGGAGACCTTACCTCAAAGAAAGAAAACAACATCACCGAAACACAATACGACTATGTTTGCATATATAAATATTATGTACTGAGCAATATGCTTAAGTCCTTTGCATCCATCACCAATGCAGTGGCATTGTGCAGAGCCAGTGTTTAAGAGCTGGCTTTCTAGAGGAAACAAATCCTGGATTGTAGCCATTGCCAATTTCCACAGTGGAGATACTAGACAGATTTTAAGCTGACAAAGGCATCATTGAACAGAGATCTGGGAAGAGATAAGCGTCACAGGCTGTCATGGAGCAGGTAAGACTTAGCAGCACCACACTGCTTCCCACCCCTCCTTCTTTTTCCTGTGGTGCTAGAGATGGAACCTGGGGTGCCAGGCATGCTAGGTAAGTGCTCACCCCTGAGCTGCATCCCCAGCCAGGGAGGCACTACTTTTATCCCTATTTTTCCACACCAGAGAAAACAGAGACAAAGAGGTTAAATGACTTGCTCAAATTTGCCTAGAAGAATTTGTATTAAACCCTGGCCTGTGAGATACCAAAGTAGACCAAGGATTTAAGAAAATAGCGTGCATTTACAAGGTCCTGGGTTAAAGGGGTTTGTTTTTTCCTTTTCCTTCTTAAGTAAAAACTGTAAATATTTTTAACGATGCTTTGCCTCTTTCTAGCCCACACCCCTCCCCATCCCCAGGCAGAAGACACAGATAGGAATCCTCTTGTGATAGTTTTTGTGCACGGCTTTTGAGAGCTTCAGCTGCTTGTCTCAACTCCAGCCTTTCTTTGCCACAAGTCTGACTTGGCACGGAGGCAACACTGTTGCACTGGGGATGAATTCCCAACACATGAAATCTGGGAGACGGGTTCAAACCTTAGCATGGAGTGTGCCCACGTTAGATAAAGTCAAGGACCTGTGCTCTAGCATCAGGACTCATGAGCCATTGCCATCTGGAAAAAGCAGCCTTGAAATGCCTTTGGAGAGGAGGAACAGATGGAGAATGAATTCCATGCCCAGATGTGGCAAGTGACACATGGACTGACTCCAGCCACCTTGGGCAATTCACATGCCCTGCATGTCAGAGCAGGCAGATGTTCAGCTTTCCATGTTATCTCAGCTTTGCCCTCCATCTTAATAAGGCAGCATATGCCTCAGAATCCTTCTCCATCTCACCCTTAGCAGATAAGGTCTTCATGTGACTCCACTTGCCTAAGAGCAGGAGGTCCTGTGATCTTACCATGTCCTTTCTTTTACAATAAGAAAAGTGAAAGAGACGTAACTCCATTTTGCCTTGATGTCTAATGCTGAGTTGTGCTCTTTTACCAATGCAATTTTTACTTACCAAACACTAACTCTGTTTTCCAGCTGGGACATTGCTCAACTTTTCATAAAATGCAATTCATGGGCCAGCATTTTCTTAAAACAAAAAGTATCAAAGGGCATCTCTATAGTATTGGTTCAGTATTATTTCATAAAACTGTTTGGTTGTACATACACGTATACTAGTCTCATAACATAAAATACATATCCTATTGTGGGTTCTGGTAAGTGGAGTCTGAGAGCCAATGCAGTGGGGTTTCGTCTTTGCTAGGGGATCTCCAAGTGAGGATTTGGAAGCAGGAGCATCAGCATCGCTTGGGAACTTGTTGGCAAAGCACATTTCAAGGCAGGGAGATATGAAGGAGTGATAGGCTGAATTTGATCATAGTACATTATGGATAGGCAGAGATGTCACAATGAAACCCCTCTGTACAATTAACACACTAATAAAAAACGTACATTTTATATCCCTTTCAGACACCCTGAATCAGAAGCTGTGGAGTGGGGGACTTGTGGAAAATCCAGGAGGCTCTGATGAGCACTCATGCTGGAGCCCCATTGGAAAAGTATGTCAAAGATTAAAAACATTAGTGACTCCAAGTTTGGTGGCACACGCCTGTAATCCCAGCACTTGGGAGGCTAAGGCAGAAAGATTGAAAGTTCCAGGTCAACCTGGCCTACACAGTGAGACCCTATTGCAAAAGAAAAAAACAATCAGGCATTAGAACAAAAGAATAATAACAAAAACAATTTGCAACCCTTTTTGATAACCAAGAATCTCAAGTAAACAACTCAGAAAAACAGTTATAAAATCAGGAAACAGTCTTTAATGGAGCCCATTTTATAAGGATCAAATGTAAATACAGTGGGTAAAGAAAAAGAACATCAGTCAAGATTATCCACAAAGTACAAAACTAGTCAGTCCATGGCCCAGTAAGTTTATGTGGTTTTTCGTGCTCTTCAGCCCTGGAACACATCATCCTGTCTTCAATGGAGGGGCCATTGAAGGTAGCATAGTTGACTTGTGTCTAGGGCCAAATTGTTTGAAAAATATTAACTTAAAATACTGGAATCATGACTGGGGGCATAGCTCAAGCAGTAGAGCACGGGCTTAGCAAGCATGAAGCACTGAGTTCAAACCCCAGTACTACCAAAAAAAAAAAAAAAAAATATATATATATATAATATATATATATATATATATTCTGCACACTGAGAGGGTACCAGCTGAGTGAGCAAGTCATATTCCCAATATATGTGTCATTGGGAGTGGGGGGTGTTTATGTTTTTTCTAACTCCTTATAGCTGAAGTCACCACAGAGTTACATTTTTTGGTAGTACTTGGGTTTGAGCTCAGGCCTCGTGCTTCTTAATCAAGTGCTTTATCGTTTGAGTCAGATCCCTGGGCTTTTTTGATTTCGTTTATTTTTCAAGTAGAGTTTCGCACTTTTTATTTTATTTTAGTGGGACTGAGGTTCCATCTCAAAGTCTTGAGCTTACTACCACTTGAGCAATGCCTCCAGCCCAGGCTTTGTGCTTTTTGCCAGGGATGGGACTCTAGCCTCTATCCTCCTACCTGACTTCCTACTAAACTGGGATTACAGATGTGAACCACCAAGCCTGGCTCCATGAAGTTACCTTTAGAAGGGATGCAATTTCACCAAGTAGGTTACCATCTACTTGGTAACCTTTCCTTCTCCAAAAGGAGCATGTCACAACATGTATACACATACACACAGTATCTCACGGAGTCCTCACACAACCCTATGACTGGGTTATACTATTCTCATTATGGAGACAAGAAAGTTCCCAGAAGATACCTTGTCCAAGGTCACACAGCTAGGAAATGACTGAGGTCAAATGGGAACACAGGTATGCTGGAGAAAATTAAAGGCATGATAAACTAATAATATGACAAAGATTTTTCTCAGAGCAAATAAAATCTGCCTCAGTCAACTTTTTTTTTATTTGTGGCATACTCACACCCACGCACCCTGTAATTTAGGAAACAGGTGTCAGAAAAATTGCCTTTGCAGGCCTCTTTCCCTGTCCCAGATGGGGTTGTTTCTGAAAATATGTGACTCCAATAATTTTATTTTTTTTTCATTTTTCTTTTATTATTCATATGTGCATACAAGGCTTTGGTTTATTTCTCCCCCCTGCCCCCACCCCCTCCCTTACCACCCACTCCACCCCCTCCCGCTCCCCCCCTCAATACCCAGCAGAAACTATTTTGCCCTTATCTCTAATTTTGTTGTAGAGAGAGTATAAGCAATAATAGGAAGGAACAAGGGTTTTGCTGGTTGAGATAAGGATAGCTATACAGGGCATTGACTCACATTGATTTCCTGTGCGTGGGTGTTACCTTCTAGGTTAATTCTTTTTAATCTAACCTTTTCTCTAGTTCCTGGTCCCCTTTTCCTATTGGCCTCAGTTGCTTTAAGGTATCTGCTTTAGTTTCTCTGCATTAAGGGCAACAAATGCTAGCTAGTTTTTTAGGTGTCTTACCTATCCTCACCCCTCCCTTGTGTGCTCTCGCTTTTATCATGTGCTCATAGTCCAATCCCCTTGTTGTGTTTGCCCTTGATCTAATGTCCACATATGAGGGAGAACATACGATTTTTGGTCTTTTGAGCCAGGCTAACCTCACTCAGAATGATGTTCTCCAATTCCATCCATTTACCAGCGAATGATAACATTTCGTTCTTCTTCATGGCTGCATAAAATTCCATTGTGTATAGATACCACATTTTCTTAATCCATTCGTCAGTGCTGGGGCATCTTGGCTGTTTCCATAACTTGGCTATTGTGAATAGTGCCGCAATAAACATGGATGTGCAGGTGCCTCTGGAGTAACAGTCTTTTGGGTATATCCCCAAGAGTGGTATTGCTGGATCAAATGGTAGATCGATGTCCAGCTTTTTAAGTAGCCTCCAAATTTTTTTCCAGAGTGGTTGTACTAGTCTACATTCCCACCAACAGTGTAAGAGGGTTCCTTTTTCCCCGCATCCTCGCCATTTAAAAAAAAATTCTGAGCCTGTCACTCTTTTTTTAATCAAACTTCTAAGAGCAAATATTTAGGGTTTTCACCTTAGGTGTCCTCTTAAAGGGAAGCATTCCTTTTACTATTCCTCTCAGGCTTTTTAGATTTTATTTATGTGTGTGTGTGTGTGTGTGTGTGTGGTTCTGAGGATGGAACCTGGACTGTGGACATGCCCTATCACTGAGCTGCATCCCTCCAACTTTTAAGAAACAGTAGGGGAATGAAAGATCAGAGAAGAGAAAGAGCAATATTTCATATTTTTCTAAAGCCACTGCTCCCAGAAGGCCATCCTTACTCTTTCTCACTCAAGAGAGTGGGACTTTTCCCTAGAAAACTCTGTTAGGGCTTAAAAGGCCAGGTGGGAATTTACCAGTGGGTAAGAAGGTCATCTTTCCCAGAATTCCTCAGCTTTCCAAACCTAGTCATCTGGTTATCTGCAGGCCACCTTTATTATCACATTTTTTACAACACAACTTATCACCTTATTTATTTATTTGTTTGTTTATTTATTTATTTATGGCAGTACTGGGGTTTGAACTCTGTGCTTGCTAGACTGGCACTCTAACACATGAGCTACACCCTAAGCCCAAATCACCTTATCTCAAATAGAAGATGAATGTTGTTATCAGAAGTCGAAGAAAAGTATAAAAATGAATTCACTGAAAGCAAAAAGTCTTTTATGTTCAATTCTTATTTGGGGTGTGTCTCATCAAAGATCCGAAGCTTGAGTGTGTGCACTCACACACACCTGTGCTCTATCGCTGTCTCTCTTCTTCCTTCCTTCCTTCTTTCCCACTCCAGTAGGAGAAGCAACTATTACAGTGGTGTTAAGGAGGATTGAAAAGAAATCAGGAAGTAGATACAAGGGAACTTACTGTAGTTTCTGCTTAATTTTTCTGGAAAACTAAAACTGCTCTCAAAAATAAGTCTTAATATTTGAAAGTATACATATAAAAATAAAATTAGGACTTCTAACTTTTTTAGGAAATTAATATTCCCCCTGGGTAAGTCAAGATTTTTATTCTCTAACTACCTCAACTTGTTAGAAATTATTACTGGAAATTTCCTCTCAAAATAACTTTAGTCCATAGTCCACATTTGGTGAAACACTGATTAGCCAAAGTTTGATTACATAAAAAAATAAGTGTCACATTTACTTTATGAAGGACTGAGAGTGTGGTTCAAGTGATGGAGCAAGCTCAAGACCCTGAGTTCAAACCCCCAATACTGCCCCAAATAAATCTACTTTCTGAATGGTTTCCTGTTGATGATGGGATGGAATTTCAAACCATTCATCTCTCTGCCAAACTCTTCCATGATGGGCTCTCACATTCACTTTTCCCTTCTTGCCAGTGCCCATGTACCCCAAGATTTATTTTTAAACTCTTTGCTCTTCCCTGCTTCTGAAACTTCCTTTCCCAAGCTCTGCCTATCAAATCTTACTCTTCTTTCAAGATCATCCAAAAAACTCCCCAACCCTCCAAGTCAACCTACACAGTTCTTCTGTGACGCTTCCCTTGGCCCTTTCAGACAGGGAAACCTGTTCCTTAGCCTTGTATGGCTAGGAAGCCATGTTTGCCTATCCATTCCAGCAGACATCTTTCTGTTGATGTAGTGGGTTTTCATGTCTCTTAAGATTGCCAGTTAAAATATATGGTGCCTTGTTATATTTCAATTTCAGCTTACCAAAAGAAAATTTTTTAGTCTAACTATATCCTAAACATGATGTACAGTGTTTCCTGTATTTTTTATATCTAAATCTGGCAATGCCGTGCCTGTCCCAATGACAGCCAGCTTCCTAAAGACAAAGGTTGTAGCTTTCCATCTTTGTGTACTAAGTACCAGGTACTTAGTAGAAGCTTTTAAGTATTGGATGAATTATTGCATGAATGACTACATATAGGATTTCACAACGCATAAGGAACCCATTTCTATTTCTACCTAGAAACATAGCTAGAAAGAGAGAAGCTAATGTGCTCAAATTTAATATATTCTACAATCTATAATCTATAAACTGGTCCTGTAGGAAGGAGCAAAGTTGTCTGCATTATTCTCTATCTTGTATTTAACATGTGTATCTTGTATTTAACCCCCTGTGGCTTCTATATATAAATTTACAGTTTTCTCTCACACAGATCACATTATTAAGGTAAGAACTTTTACATAGTCCAAAGACAGACACAATAGATAGCAGCACCGGCCAGCAATGAATCTACTCCATGTTGTGACTGGCTCTGTCTCTATTAATTGAGTTGCCAATTAATCACTGTGATTGGCTTGAAAGCTTTCCTGTGGGTGTGTGCATTCATGGAGGAATCACAGCTCTGAAGTCAGACAGACGTAGATTTGCAGCTATCACTCAGCCAGTGTCAAGCTGGACTCTCCCTGGGGCTCGATTTTCTCAGCTGTAGACCAGGTTATAATAGCTACCTCCAAAAACGTCATTGAAAATATCAAATGGGATAATGTACCTGAAGCGTTGTGTGTGGAACCTGCCCGTAAGTGTTCAAGAGTGGCAACTATGCAGGTGATGAAGATGACTCTTCATTTCTACCTTCCCAGCCAGATTGCAATGCCTTTTTTTATATAAAATTTTTATTAAGAAATATCATTATACAGGGGGGATTCGTAGTGACAATTCCACTTAGACTTACATTGTACATTATTTACATTGCCCCCATCGTCTCTCCCCCTCCCTCCCCTCCCCATCCCACTTAAAGCAATTGCAAGAGGTTATTTAGTTCTGTTTCATACAGGTATATGAAATCCATCAACCATATACCATCACCTTAACCTCCTTCCTTCACCCTCTCCCTTTCCCACTAGTACCCCTCACACACACACACACACACACACACACACACACACACACTGTGCCTGTTTTCCAGTACTGATTGCATTATTAATATTTAAGCTGATGTTCGAAGGCATGCCTCAATGTATGCCCCCTGTGGGTGTGCTTTAATTTGGTCTGTTCAATCCCTTCAAATACTCTCCCTTACCCCTTCACCTCCCACCCCTCGTTTTTCAACAGCTTTCAATACACATCCTTGTGTCCTCTACCTTCACATCTTATGTCATGCGATATTACTGATGCTCCATCACTCTCTTTTCCTTTCCCTCTTTCCCCGAGTTCCACAGAGAAGTTCCACTGTTACAAACATATTCTACATCTGAGTTTGTATATGATCATGCTCGTTTTATTTATATGTTTATCTTTGGATCTATCTTCCACGAATGAGAGAAAGCATGCGTCTTTTGTGTTTCTGATCCTGGATAACTTCACTTAACATGATTCCCTCCAGTTGCATCCATTTGCCTTCAAACCCCATGTCATTAGTCCTTGCGGCTGAATAATACTCCATTGTGTCTGTACACCACAATTTCATGGTCAGTTGTAGGGCATCTGGGCTGTTTCCAGAGCTTGGCTATTGTGAATAGTGCTGCTATGAACATTGGTGTACAGGTGTCTCTACTGTATCCTGTCTTACATTCCTTTGGGAAGATGCCCAGGAACAGTATCACCAATCATATGGCAGTTCTATCTCTAGTTTTTTGAGGAATCTCTATACTGCTTTCCAGAGCGGTTGTACTAACTTGCATTTCCACCAGCAGTGTATAAGGGTTCCTGTTTCACCACATCTTTGCCACCATTTGTTATTGTTATTATCCTTGATTATGCCCATTCTGAGTGAGATAAAATCTAAGTGTTGTTTTGACAGATTGCCATGTCTTTGAACATATTAACTTTCTTTTTTCTGTCTTTCTTTTTGTTCCCTTTCATTCTTCCTTTCCTTCCTTCTTTCCTTCCTTCCTCCCTTTCTTCCTTCCTTTTCTTCTTTTCTTTTTTTTTTTGAGACAGGTGTTAATATGTAACCTAGGTTGGCCTTGAACTCTCCATTCTCCTGCCTCAGTCTGTGAGTGCTTGGAATATAGGTGTGTGTATGCCATCACAGCCAGATCTTTCTTCTTCTTTCCTCTCTTCTTTGGCATTTCCCAGCATCTACTATCAAGTGTAAAAGGACTGGGGGTGTGGCTTAAGTGATAGAGTGCCTACCTAGCAAACTCAAGGCCCTGAGTTCAATTGCAGTACCACAGACAAAAAGAATGCAATAAAAAGTAGTCATCTTATAGACAGCCAAATAAACCCAAGTTCTAAAAATGCTCGTTTTAGTGCTTTTCGTAAAACTGGCAATATTTAACTACAAGTGTAACAAGACATTAACCTTTGTAAGTGACTAGTACACTGCATACTTTCTTTTATTAATCATTGACAGATTGTGTTTGGGCAAATAAGAAATACTAGAGAAATGAAGTAGATATTCAAAATAACAAGGAACGGTTTTGGTATAAAAACTGCCCTTCACGCATTTCTCACCAAGACTTTCTACAGCACATGTGCCAGCATCACAGGCACGGACCATGGAGAGAACACCTCAACAAAGATGGTGGTTACCCTTCTCATCAGCTGCCCTGGAAAGGAGTTCAGAGTGATTGACAGTCTACTCTCAGCAAATGAACACTACCCATGCAGAGGCCATCCTCCAATCTTCGTCCTCACTCATTCCCAGCTTAATTTAACTACAGCTATCATTGAACTTGTTTTCCCATGACACAGTCTCAGTCTTAGCAAAGTAGTCATGGCTCCTGCCTCTTCTTAGATCTTACAATTTACGTGTGATGTATTTTTTTCCTTTAATTGAGCCAGTCTCCTCAATGCTAAGTTTAAGTCTGTGGAAGTCTATATTGGTCAAGTTGTTTTTTCCAAGCCACTTTAGCACTTCAGTTCAAATGTGTACTCAAGCCCATCCAGTTTAGGAGACAAAGAATGAGGTTCAACTTTCTTCACCAGAAAGGCCACCGACATCTTTCTTTTTACAAGGCATGGAAACTGAAGGGGACCTAACAACATTCAATAATTGTTACTTGTGTCGTTTCTGTTACTCTTGTCAGTGCAATAGAGAAAATGAATATATTAAAATTGCTCCCTCCTGGTCTATGTCCTTGACCAGTCTTTGGAATGCCATCCACATAACCACTCTGTTTTGTAAAAAGAAATCCAAGCAGATAGGAAGAGTTACCTAAGAGTAATAACCCAGATTAGTCTGTAAGCAAAGTGAGATCAAAATTAGGTCTGCCCAAATTTTCTCTGCAGTTTCTTCTTTTGGTCACCCTGTACAACACCAATAATGAGGCTTATAAGATACATCTCAACTTCAGAGAAGTTTAAGGTATGAAGTAGGCTCATCATCAAACTTCTGACATGTAGTAGACCTTAGATTATTGTGAGAATAAAGTACATATGAAATACACAATTTTTTCATGGAATTTGGGACACCTAATAAATAACAAATCATTATCTCCCAGCAGATGTCGCCTCTGACAAGGAAGACTTTGGCCACAGTGTCTTCTCCTTAGGTGCCTCTGGAAAGACTAGGCCAAGTGATGCCTCCCTGAGAGATTCAGCACATCCATCAGATAAACACATTCTTTGATTCCAGATAGTAATGGAAACATTAAGGAGCCAGGAGAAGTTCAGGCTTTTTAATTGGGCAGTGGTGGGATTACAACACACACACACACACACACACAGAATACGAACACCATGAGAGCAGGAGGTTTATCTGCCTGCTCACTGTCAAATTCCCAGAGCTCAGAACAGTGCCTGACATTTAGTAGGTACTCACTGCAGGAGTTGAATGACTGCATAATTACACAGATATTTGATAGAATTAATAATGGTGGGTTGAGAAAATTCACACTGTGATGGATATGACTCATAGCTGAGTCAACTGTAAATAAGTCTCTGGTTCCCTATTCTCTCCTTTTTCCACAGCAGCCTTTAAGCATCCCAGTTTTATGGGGTAATTCTAGTGGAAATAAACTTCAGAAGTTAAAATTACATAATTAATTATAGTCAGCGTGAATTCCAATTATCTGTTGATCCAAGATTGCTCATGGATCACCTGGCAACAGTGAAAGAAAAACATCAGCAGGTGTTTGGGCTTGGTTCATGCTTGCCAAACTAATTAGATGAGCATTTTTCTCCCAAGGAAAACCTAAGCAATTTTTATTTGGCTCAGAAGACAGTTGAACCCAGGGGCTTTCAGACGCATCTGTTTAATTTCCTTGCTTCTGGCCTGGACGACATTCTATTATTAAGACACTTTTATATATATCCGCTCTCACTCATTAGGAGTTAATTTTATAGTTTCATTCTTAGGTTTCTGCTGTTGCCAGCGTTGAACTGTGGGCAAGGGTCACACTATCGCAGTTTGAACTGGAGCTCTGCTCTTTACTTGCTGTGGAACTTGAGCATGTTACTTAATCTTTCTGTGTTCCAGTTTCAAAATCTGTAAAAGAGGCATAACAATGGCACTTATACAACTAGACTGCAAGGAGGAATATACAGACAAGTAATGCCTTGTAAACAACAAACATTATATAGTGTTAAATAAATAAAATACGCATTAGCTTCTAATAAGCTTTTTCTAATAATTAAACATTTGATCGTTTAGGCACATGATAGAAATTACTATAAACAGATTTATATCAGGTTTATATTCACACATACCTAGTGAAAATAAAAATTTAACTCCTACAGAAAGACTTGGTTTTGTTCAAGGATTGCTTGGTGGACAGTATCCCTAAGGTTTTTGTTGGCATGCAACAGAAACTCATACTGTCTACCTGTATTAGTCCATTTTTCATGACTATATTAAAATACCTGAAGCCAGATATTTTATAAAGAAAAGAGTTTTACTAGCTCACAATTTTGTAAATTCAAGAGCATAGCACTGACATCTACTCAGCTCTGGTGAAGACCCCTATGGCAGGTAGCATCACAGCAGGAGTGTATGGAAGACAGAGATATTAAACAGTGAAATGGAAGCTAAGGAGATGGGGGAAGCCAATCTCGCTCTTTCATAACACTCCTCCCTGCTAGAACTAACTGGAGTCCCATGAGAACCACTTAATCCTTTCCAGCGGTGATGCTCTTAATGTCCCAATCATTTTTCATTTGGCTCTATCTACATCTTGATGGTTCTGCTACCTCCAACATCACCTTACTGAGAATCAAGCTTACAAAACAGAAACCCCTTGGATACACTCAAACTGTAGCCAAACCCTGTAGCCCTTCCCTTAGCAGAGTCCCTAGCAGTGAGTCTGAAAAAGAATTGGAATCAAGGAACTCTGGGGTTCTTAGTACAGTCACCCGTGGAGAGTCCCTTTGGGAATGACTCCAAGATCCTTCTTCTTGCATCACCTCTAGACATGTGAGTTATTGTGAGAGAGTTTTAATGATCTGAAGCCAATACATACTCACCTTTGGGGCTAGTGGCAGGGAACAGGTGTGATATCTGTGCATCACTGGCCCCAACAGGACTACAGGGTGCAGTGGAGGAGAGAGTGATACAAAGGAAAAGCAGGAGCCAGTATCCAAAAAGGGAGAATGGTTATGAGGCGTGTCAAGCAGCAGCTGTCTACCACATGAAGAAAGAGGAAGGGGAAAGCAATGTTTTCTAAAATGCTGTCTTTATGCACTGTGAGCCTTTCCAGAAATTTAAATGTTTCTCTCCTCATGGTTACTTATGCCCTGAAAGGCTGTCTCATCGTCCCGGCAGTCATGCAAAAGGAGCAAGAATCTGGCTAAGTTGTTTCTTTCTCTGGCCTAATGAAGCAGCTCTCTGGTTGTTTGTGTTGCATTAATTTAAATACTAATTTACGTTTCACAATTTCATAATAGCAATAATTTCTAATTCAATCAAAACAACGTTATGCTAAACTTTCAGACTTCATTAAATGATAAGCTTACAAAAGTGCCTCACATATTTATGAATCCTTTTTCCAGTTGGGTTGATTTTGGCTATACGTATCAGAACACCCAGCTTAAAGTTTGCAAAAGTCAAAAAAAAAAAGTATTGGTGCATAACTGATGTCCAGATGTAAGGCAAGCTTCTGGGGAGACTTAATTCAATGGTTTCAGATCCATTCTCAGCTAATTTCCATGATGTTGTCTGCCCCTCTTTTCTCTCTATGTTCTTTGTTTCAGGCTGGAAGCAAGATGTCTGCAGGATTTCCAGAATGCAACCACATACAAAAAAGTATCTGGAGGAAGACAATCTGGAGAAGAATGAGATCATTTCTTTTTCTCCTTTCTTTTCTTTTGGTCCTGGGCATGCTGGGCAAGCTTTGTATGAGCAACACCCCCGCTCCAGCCCCAAGATCATTGCTTTATTCAGGTCAGGAATAAAATAAATTTCTCTAGACCCTTCTAGCAAACTTTCACCTCACTGGGTCACATACTTAATCTTAAAATAACCTTGGCCAAAGCAAAATGCCATCTGCTAACTGGTTTAGGTCTAGATTCTTGAACCAATCACTGGCAAAAAGAGTTACATCAATTATACCTGGCCCCCAACTCACAGGTCACTAGGCAATAGTAAACAGGAGGAATATATGTTAAAGAGAAAATAGGGTAGGCATTGATCTCCTCCACCCAAATATGTCAACCTTACTACTGCCCCACCTATGTGCTTGAAAATTTTGAGATTTAGTTGAAGACAGAGGTCACTTCCCACTAACAATGCTAAAGACACCATGAGCTTTTTGACTTCCCTCTCCGTTGGGGCAGGGGCTTGTGTCAGAGACTCTTGATCACACATACCTGTGAGGTTCTGTTTACAACCCATGGCCCAAGGAGCTTGGAACAACTTGGAAAATCCATTTGAGTGGCAAGTGGCAGCTAGCTTCCAGGATAGCGGTGGCAATGGAAATGGGATATCCAGAACAGGGTCACCAGGTGTAAAGAGAAAATACAGGTAGCCCCATTAAATTTGAATTTCATATAAATAACAAATAATTTTAGTATGATTTTTAGTATAAGTTTGCCCCAAATATTACAGGGGACACATTTAAACTAAAAATGATTTATTTGAAATTCTAGCTGGGGACTTGGCTCAAGTGGTACAGCACCTGCCTAGCAAGCAGGGGGCCCTGACTTCAAACCTCAGTGCCCCCCAAAAAACCCTGAAATTCCAATAATATACCTAACTGCACTTTATCTGACAAGCCAAATCCAGTAGCATCCAGTGTCTGGCAGTGGCAGCCATGTTGAGTGGCAAAGGCAGGAGAACTGTCATCAGACTGGGCTTGTGACTCATTTCCATGCTGCTCACCTCCCTTTCTTCTGCTTAGTTTCCAAGCCTAGCTCTGTAGCATTACCAGAAATTCTGTCAGAAAACATCATACAACGTAAGCTTCTGTGGTTCACAGCTAGGGAGATTGATCACACATACCTCAACATCCACTACAAAACCCTGAACCTGTCCCCTAGCGCTGAGGCCATCATAAAACACAAAGGCAGGAAAATAACATGTTTCTTTTGAAGCAGAAGTAGCATGCACTGCGCTAGTCTAAAGGCTGGCCCTTAGGAGAACAGAGTTCTTTGCACGTTTCTTTTTTGTCAGCGGTTGAAGGAAATTCATGCAATTCTTTCTGCTTCAACTAAGCTAAGTGTAAAATGAAAACGATTCTGAAATGTTCATTGCCTTAAGAACTAAGGATTACAAAATTCTAGCATAGACTAAGCCTTCCCTTTGCTAGGATTTCTCCTTCCTATCCTGACTTGTCAAACTAAATTCTTCTCCTGTACAATAACCTCAATATTATTAATTTGGACATTTTGGTGTCTAAGTTATTCTGTATTCTTATTGTCTTACTTCTCAGAATAACATATCTTCATAGTTTGGGTTCCTTTTGAATGGAGAGCTGATCTAATCTGCCAGTTATCATGGGTGGGGATCTAAAGCAATTTACTTGAACTAAAGCTATGCATGGAAACACTGCTTCTGCCTTCTCTACATCATGAAAGACGCATGTTGGTTCTAGATCATGAAATTCACAACTTGACATGCATGTCAGGAATGATGGGTCTCTTGGGCTAGTAGCTTGTTTGTTTTTGTCTGTCTGTCTGTGGAAGGGTCTCGCTATGAAGCCCAGGCTGATCTTGAACTCTCAGTCATCCTGATCAGCTTTCCAAATGCTGGGAATACAGAAGTGCACACCATGCCTGGTGTCTAGCAGCAGATTACATGATGATAAAGATTGTTTGCTGAGATTGAATGCAGTGTTTGTAAGGTGGACGCAGCCTCCATAGATTTTTCCGGCTTCATCTCTTCACAGCTGGAGCTGTTGGCACAGCTCTAGAAGACAAATCTGAAGCAAAGATTCTCATGACATTTGAGAATAATTCCAAACTTGAACAGGTTACTAAAATATAGTAACAGTGTCTCTCCCACACCATGTGGAAGTTGAAAGGGACAGTAAAACTGAAGCCCGCCATCCTACCAAAGAATCTGAAGGTGTCCCTGAAGGCTCCTGGGGGACACAACAGAATCCTGGGTTTTCATATTACCCAAGCGTACCCAGAGTAGGGAAGCATGTGACAGGTATGATATCATGTGTGCCCAAAGTGCCATAGTGACTGTCCACTCAGTCACAGCCAATGGCACACAAGAAAACTTGCCTGGCACTTCTAGGAAAAACATTTTTGTTATTTTTCATTGGATTTGAAGTGATAGAAATTAGATTTGGGACTACTCAATCAAACAACTACCACAATGAAGAAACTTGTCAGAAAATAGGGCAAAGTAGAGGATGTAATCCAATAGATGAAAGTGAAACTAGGTCCTGATGGCATTGCTTGACCTCCTTTGTCAAGCCATTACTGAAATCAGCCCTGCCTCTGAAATTCTCTTTTCTGGGTCAATTTGGTTTCCATCCCCTGAAACAAACAGACCTCTAACTAATACAACTGGTTCTCCCCACAGAAATGCAGGTAGGAGACTGTCCAGAATGAAGAACAGTTTGAGCCAGGCAGAGGGCCAAGGCCTTCAACCTCTGACCACTACTAGGCAGCGTTTTATCCAGGATCTCCTGCTACACTGGGTAACTTCTGACAAATCACCTCAGGTAAGTGTTTCTGACTCCTTCCCTGTTAACAGAATATCTTACCTGCCCTAGAGACTTTCATGGTCAAGGTGGGATTAGCAGTGTATAATGAACAGGTACAGAAAAGCACTTGGTTCACTCTTCTGTTCTAACATAGAACTGTGTTTGCTTACCAAGCAACCTAGAAAGTTTTACAAAAAGAGGTAACTTTGGAGCCACACTTTTTTGTTTAGTGTTTCCTTGAGTGAATCCTTTGTTTATAAGAGTTTCAAAGCAAATTGCCTTTTAATTCAGTCACCTTGCAGTTTATTTTTGGCTTCACATTTAAGTCTAGTAGTTAAGTCTCATTTTTCACTTATGAGTGCATGGCTTGTTTTCATGTGGGAATGGTTAAAAGGTTAAAAAGTTCTATCTTTAATTCTATAAATAATCTATACAATAATGTTCAGTAAATGATATTTCACAAAACCCTACCTCCAACTCAGGATTAAGTGATATGTATCTACTAGCTTGCTTACTTTTACTTAGGAGGGTGTTGGTGTTAGATTATGTGGTTTGGTTAGATTTTGCCACAAGAGCCAAGGATTTTCTATCAGTGTTTCCTGAGAAAATGACTCAGTGTAACTACAATTGATTTCCTATAAATTTCAAAAGTTATAAACTTCCTACTATTTATAAAAGTGATATTGAAAGGAAGAATGAGGAGTGTTTTTATAATTACTCAAGAATTGCCTTAAGGGCTGGAGGCATGGCTCAAGTGGTAGAGCACCTGCCTAGCAAGCATGAAGCCCTGAGTTCAAAGCCTAGTACCACTAAAAAAAAATTGGCTTAAGATGTAAACTGGTACCATAAAACATGCTGATTTACTATAAGGCAAATCATTTAATACTTTCTGGAATCATTAAGAAATAAGGCTGGGTGCCAGTGGCTCACACCTGTGATCCTAGCTATTTAGGAGGCAGAGATCAGGAGGCCAGCCCAGGCGATAGTTTGCTAGACCCTATCTCAAAAAAACCCATCATAAAAAAAGGGGATGATGGAGTAGCTCAAGGTGGAGACCCTGAGTTCAAACCCCAGTACCTCAAAAAAGAAAGAAAGAAAGAAGGCAGAGAGCTAAGTATATAGCTCAGTGGTAGAATGTTTGCCTACCATGTGCAAGGCCCTGGGTTCAATCCCCAGTATAGAAAAAATAAAATAATTATATTAAATTTAAGAATAAAGGAGCCTAAAGTAAGTAAAGATGAATCCCCTATTCCTCAGTCTTTGTTTTTGTTTTGGGTTTTTTGTTGTTATTTTTTGCTTTAATTTTTTGAGACAGTCTCGCTGTGAAGAATTCCACATTCTTGAAAGGAGTCAGGGGTGTGACCAGAACCTCCACTAAAGCCTCCAAAATGGGAGAGTACTTGAAAGAGGAACTAAGGGAAGCATGGTGTACCTAGAGATACAGTAAGTGTATGTGGAAAGCAGCACGAAATGAGGTCATGAAACAGGTGAGGACGAGATCACTGGCAGTCTTGTGATCACGGTTAGC